ACGAATGGGGGGTATAAAAGTAGAGAAGAAGTAAGGAAAGAGATAAATAAGAAAGCAAAGAATTAAATATAAAGAAATAAGGAAATAAACAAGAAATAAATATAGGAAAAGTAATACAAGCACAATGGAAACTGAGAGGGAACAGAGTCAAACGAGAAATCAGAAATGAAGATAGAAATAGAGAAGTCAAAAAGTAGAAAAGTAAGGAATGAGTTATAAATGTAGTGAAGAAACGAGGGAAGAGATAAGTGAGAAAGTAAAGACTGAAGGATAAATAAATAAATATAGAAAAAGAAGAAGGTTGGAAATAGAAGAGAGGGGTATTTCCAAGAGACCAGTATAGGAGACCGGCTCGAGGAAGAATGAGCGCTCGGAGTCCGGGCGCTGTCTTTGTCGCTTCCCCCACTCCGCGGACACAATTGTAGGCAATTTTCAGTACTTTTAAATATTCTTGGCCAGGTTTTCTGATTTCCGACTGTTATTATCCACGAGAATATCAAATTTTACTACTTATTTAATGACATTTTAATGAAATTAAAAACAAATTGCGGAACAAAATGGAGCAAATTGAGAGCAGTAAATTCATTAAGAAAATGATATGAAAGGCTGCTTAGTTATTTTGAGGAGCAATAAATAAAATGTTTTTCTGTTTTAATTAATATTTTTTAATCACTTTGTAATAACAGCGGGGCATGCACGAGCACATAGGATCTTCTCAACCCACATGAATGCTCGAGGGTCAACGACATGTTGGAGTGTTTTTAGTAAAACGATCAAATTATACTAAAAGAACGGAAAGTAGAAACCCAGAAGATAGAATTTCGACAGGCAGGGGATTCGTCACTTGTCTGTAATTTGTCGCACATCTCGAAATGCATCAGATATATAATTCGTCTGTACCAGCGCTTATTGGTTACTTGCCGCTGATGCTTTCTATTGAAACTCTAGAAAATGTTAATAGCAAGGATGCATCGTCTTGCCGTTTGTAAAGTAGAAGAAATTGAGGGCTGAGCTTTTGTCAAGAAAACAGTAGAATAGTGTCGATGCAATCCGCTGACTAATTTGTAATGAGACTTGATGCTCAAGTGCTTAGGTTACTCAGGTCTTATTTATTTGGTTACAGATAGAGAAATATTAAATAAATTTGTCTATCAGATTGAAATATATAATAAATTGGCTAACTATGAACATTCGTGCTCGCGAATGTCAATAGGAAAGAACTAGAGATAATTTACATCGCAGCTTGGAAGCTGCGCAGGTAGGGTAAGAGATCGCCCAATGTTTCTGTATAATATTCGGGCACGAGATTCGACTCCTCTTTCAAATGGGACTTCTTCCACTTCTCTACCTCGTCGAGTGTCGTGACACCTGATAAAACCAAAAGTGTCTTGAAGCCGCAGCGTCTTCCGAAGAGAATGTCGGTGTTGCAGCGATCACCAATCATCAGAGTTCTCTTTGGATCGACACCATATCGCTTCGTAACGACCTGCGCCACGTATGGCTCTGGCTTTCCCATTATTGTTGCTTTCCTTTCGGCACAGGTCTCAATGCTGCGGACAAGACTTCCGGTGCCTGAAGAGAAATAGTTATTTCTTTATTGGCAGTCCGAATATTAGGGCATGCCAATGAAGAGATAAGAATAGTAACTTTACCGGGAATGACAAGGCTGCCTGGTACCGGAAATCTTTCATCGGTATTCGTTCCAATGAAATGGATATTTTTGTCGTTTAAATACGTAGCAGCCTTCACCATCTTCGGATAACTAAAGTGCTCGTCAAAACCAACAATTACTGCGCCCACTTGCTCGTCTTTTTGAAACGTCTTGTAGACATGGTCCCCTGTGAAAGTATCCGGTCCTGAGCCAATGTGAGGGATACCGACTCTGTCTAATTCCTTGGTTATTCCTAGAGGAGATAATAGTTGTTAAAAAAAAAGGAAAACTGTAGAACGATAAAATGGAGATACACGTCAATGATCACAGTACCTGTTGATCCTATCACATAGACCTTTTTCTTGAAACCCAAATCCTGAAGATAGCATGCAGCTAGGTTGGAGGTACAGAGTATATCATCGACAGACGCTTCGAAATTAAGAACTTTGCACTTTTCGACAAACTCCTCTCTTGTCTTTGTACTATTATTTGTGATGTAGAAGACTTTCTTGCCGAGATTACGAAAGAGATTCATTACATCGGCAGATTTCGGTATTGGATTCATCTGCAACCACAAAACACCTGCGAATGCACGGTGAAAAAGTTCTTAGCTTTAACTACATATTTCATTCGAAACAAGTGAAAGCTCCGCACTATAGGTATTCGTACCATCGCAGTCCGTCAGCACGGTATCAAAGGAATTGAAAAACTTTGCGAGACTCTCGCTGGTCAAAGACTTGATGCTCCTGGCGGCCATTCTGTCTGCAAGCAGAGAAAGATTTATGAATGTTGCAAAGAACTTACGGTGAAAATTTAGGCTTTCGATATTTTTTTTTTCTTTTTTTTTTATAATTTCACTCGTTAGCCTCAAAAGCACTGAACCAGTAAAGCCAATACGAAGAAATCCACGTCGCTCCTTCCGGGTGGCAATTCGTTTGACTCAAATCAACGTACTACAAGTGGAGATTGACACATGATAAAACGTGCTGGAGTTATCGACAAAGGATATGGCTTACTGGCATGTTTTATCTATGAGAAGAAAGCCGCAAAGGAAAGAAGAAGGGATGTGGTTATTTCACTGAAACACATTCGGCACGACTTATCCGTATAGGTTAGGATATCGCCAGTTTCGATTATTTAATTTACCTCGTTTAGTGTTGATTCACACGTCTAATTGTATTTTGCGATTCACTTTTAGCCTTATAGAAATCCGACCAAGGATTATTTGAGCATTTATACAAACCAGAACTGTATCAAACGTCCCTAACAAGGGAAAAGCTTGTTAGATTGGTAGAATACGCGGTAGGAATCAGTTAAGAACTGGCACTGATTGACTTGACCTGAATGTTGCTGCGAGCTGCGACGATTAAATGATAAAACGATTTAGATGATCACACGATCCCCACTTCCTAGTAGTCTTTTAATCACATAAAAATAAAAGCATTGGCCGCCCACGTGAAAGTAACATGAATGAGCTCGAGGCCTGCAAAGACCTTCTTCGGATACTTTACACATAGTCACGTGCTTCGTGGTTGACTGGACAGACGACTGACATATGGCGAAGGAATTGTTGTCACACATTGTACCTTTATTACACCTTGCTAGCTATACATATTACTCTCAAGATGAAAAAAATAAGGTCACAGCGTATTAACTTTTGAGTCGCTAACGCTACTCGACAACTGAATCCTTATTGCTGCTAACCTTCCTCGTCGTTTCGCGCTGCAAGAGACTCTTCTCCAACGTCCGTGGCAAATCAAGTCCCGAAAGTCGCGAGACTGCACTCTTCTTTGGCTCTCCTGCGTCCTTTCTTCTCTTGCGCTCACTTCCCTTTGCCGGAGACTTTTTCTTTTTGTTAGACACGTGTATATTATTTATGTGCTGAATGAGTTTTTGACGGGAACAGAGCTTCATATTGCAAATGTCACACTGATACAACTTATCTTCATGCTTGGTGCGAATGTGCTGCCTCAAATTTCGCATGAAATTATAAAATCGCGAGCAGTTCTCGTAGGGACAGGTAAAAACCAGTGGCGTTTCTGAATGTACGGCAGCGTGCTTCTGGAACATGCTGCTGTTCAGGAATACCTTGCCGCAATGCTTGCATTTGTAATCTGTAAAAAAAAAATCAACAAAAGTACTGAGTCCGAGCTGCTATCCTCTAGAAGACGAGCATGCCATGAATGACAGTGAAGATATTTCACGCGGAACAAGAGACTTTTCAAATATGCACGTTTCCCTTTCACCGTTCGTCAATCACTGAATTCACAGAAGGCAATTACCTTTTTTTGAAATATATTTCACAAAGCGTACAACGAGAAAAGTGTGGTTCAACGATTCTATACGACGATATTTAACGAGACAACTTTCTCCTACGTATCTATATTGCATACATCCTGTTTCCGTAGATGTGCCTTTTTAAGTGCAGAACGCTAATTCGAAATTCGCAATCGCCTGGTTGTGGCTCTGTTGGTCCTTGGTTATGATAGTTGGGAGCCGCGCAATCAACGCGTTAAAGGCATTTATTGCATGAGGATTCCACGAGTTATCACTAGAATCTTTATCCCTTGCGATTGTCCCAGAGTGTCGTAACATAAATGCAAGTAAGAAGATACGTACCTTCCGGGTGCTGACTTCCGATATGTGTGCGAAGCGACGACATTTCGAATATTTCGGAACATTCTGCTGCCGGGCATGCATATTTTTTAGGACTGCTGGCATGATTCCGAAGATGCCTTCTAAATCTATTATAAACATTATATTGCTTCTTACATATGTTGCACATATAAAGAGCATTCCCTTCGTGAAAGGCTATATGTTCTTTGAACTGACGTTCGCTTGTAAATGATACATTACATTTTTCACAAGTTAGTTGCTTCTTGTTGTGATGCCAACGTTCATAGTGTCGCCTTAAATTATGTGGATTGCTGATCAACATGAAACATTTCGTGCATCTATAAAAAAAATTTATAAGAAGTGAGATAACAGTTAGTCTTTCTTGACATAACGATCCCTAATTTTCACTTATTCTTACTTATATCGTTGCTTGATATCATCATGTGTCTCACAGTGTCGTTTTAAATGAGATGAGTTAGTATAAGTCTTGTCGCAGTTGGGATAAGTGCACCTATAAGGTCTCTGAAAAATTCATAAAATATAATGTCCAAACACATACATAAAGGCTAAATAGTTAAATACCTCTCCTGTGTGGTTTCTCATATGCGTAGTAAGTTTTGATGGCCTTAGAAATGCATACTTACATCCAGGCACAGTACATTTATATTTTTTCTGGACATTATTTACATCTTTTGTATCCTCCTCAGTGTCTAATAAAGTCTTTACTTCAAAAGGAAGTTCATTGGGTTCATCTATATTTTGTCCCATACTTTTCATAAGTGAAGATTGGTTCTAAATATTTACAAATATAATAGAATACAATAAGAGACGCACAGAAAATGTACAGATATCATAGGTGTTAGTAGATTAGTATTCTATAGCAACGTGGACATCTTGAAAGACTTAGGCCCAACGATATTATGATTGAATATGGATATGACCTGACATGATCAAAACCCAACATACTCACATAATTCCATGCGTTGCCACCAGGCCACTAAAATGTGCTCTTCACTTTCACGTTTGTGAAACTCTTTAACTATTAATTCGTTTCTGTTATTGGTAGATGGTGCTGTTGACCTAAGGGATTATGCGCTCCTTTTTTTTCTGTAATAAAAAGTACTGTTAGAATAAGTGCTAGTCTAAAAAGAATATATCTTAAAAGGGAAGATCGGTTTTAATTCGTTCTAATACAGGATTAGGAGAGGCATGCAACGACAACGGCATTGAAGGTGCAACTTCTGTGGTGCAACTGGACATTTTATTATTTGCATAAGTTTTGAAATCACTCACTAGGTGGCGGTGTAAAATATGTCGACTTCAACTAATTATTAAAGAGTAATTCTACTTATTGCATATGTGGTCTGTGATTCTGCAAATAAAAGAATGGGTTACGCCGTTACACTGTTCACGGCTAAGAACTGTGCCGTGTATTATCGCGCAGGGTTATTTATTTGGTGTTAATGGATCGTGATGTACATAAGAAAATATGTAGGCTTTTGTTTATGCTCAAAGTGTTGCTCTGACGTGAAGTAAATAGCAGTAAATAACGTACAAGTGTAAAGAGGAGTTCAAGTTTGCAACAGGAAGAGAGTAGGAATAGGCGAAGGACGGCAATTATCATACTGTGCACGAAGAATGAGTGTGCCTCGGAGATATTATCTGCATTGAAGAGGATCATATTGCGAGTCCAATCGTGTAACCTCACGTTGCGAGAAGCTTTTTCTATAATCAAATAGCTAAGAAAATTTAGCAAAACGGAGTGCCGCAAGAGTGCGAAGCTCCGTGTTAAGATGAGCCTCAGTATATCAAAACTTTTCTCCAAGAAGAAGAGCACAACAGACAGCGTAGCTGAGATTGGTTTACCTACGAATGTCTCCCATGAATTTCATGTAAGCAAGAATGCTGTTACAGGACAATTGGAGGGCCTACCTGACCCCTGGATACGTCTACTCAATGAACAGATCTCCAAATTGGAGCAGGATCAAAATCCAGCAGCAGCATTACAGGCTATTAAGTTCTATAATTACTCTATCAAAAAGAAGCCCCAGGAAGAAGTCTTTAAGCCATTTGTGACGGAGGATCTTATAGAGGAGGAGTCTCAAGAGATAGATAAGATTCTTGCTAAAAAGAAATATCAATCGGGAGATTCTGATGGTTCTACCTCTGTTAGTTCTACAGATAGCCAATTGCAGAGGCTACCAGACCTGCCTCCAAAGACTTATAAACCAAAGTTAGTACCAAGAAAGAACATTGACAGAATAGAGAAAACCTTAACAGAGATACTTGAAGATTTGAATGCATATCAAATTGATGATAATCGTATGCCTGATGAGATACACCATCCAGATGATGAAAGTCCCATTTTACGCAGGAAGACAGAATGCTCTGTGGGAAAGTTATCGGATGAAGAGGTATTTGAAGAAATCAGAAGAATCTGTCATCATGGGGATCCCAACAAGCGTTTTGAAAGGAGTAAAGAAGTTGGTGCTGGAGCATCAGGTACAGTTTTCATAGCTACAGACATTTCTAACGATCAAAGGGTAGCCATAAAGGATATAGATCTATCCAAACAACCAAAGAAGGAACTCATTCTAACAGAAATTAAGGTTCTTAAAGAATTTCAGCATCCAAACCTTGTCAACTTCCTTGATGCGTATCTTCTTCAAGAGCACCTATGGGTTGTGATGGAGCTTCTCGAAGGTGGTCCTTTAACGGATGTGGTGACTGAGACTGTAATGAAGGAAGCACAAATAGCAGCAGTCTGTCGTGAAGTTCTAAAAGCTATAAGTTTTCTTCATGCCCGAGGAATCATCCACAGGGACATAAAGTCTGACAACGTTCTCCTAGGGATGCAAGGAAACGTCAAGGTAACAGATTTTGGTTTCTGCGCCAACATCGTCGGTGATGAAAAGAGACAAACCATGGTTGGCACGCCATATTGGATGGCACCAGAAGTTGTCACAAGGAAGCAATATGGCAAGAAGGTTGACATTTGGTCCTTAGGCATAATGGCTATAGAGATGATCGAGGGCGAACCACCATATTTAAAAGAGGCACCACTTCGTGCATTATATCTGATTGCCGCCATTGGTAAACCATCGATTCCACGATGGGATACGCTCAGTCCTACACTACAGGATTTCCTGGAGAGGTGCTTGGCTGTGGAAGTAGACGAGAGGGCAACAGCCGACGAATTATTAGCACATCCTTTCTTGGAGAACTGTGCAGACCTTTCCACCCTGACGCCATTAATTAGAGCCGCCCAGCGAATGCTGCGCAAAGCATTTTAAAGTCCAAAGATCTTTGTTCTGGCGTACCGATCTTTACGTTTATCTAACGAAAGTACATACTCTTGTTCTTTCCATTTTATTTCTTTTGTGTTTATCTACCATTTTTGCAATTTCTCTACATGCGTGCACGGTTAATTCGCAAAAATCAATAGATTCCCTGTTAAAAAAAGTCAATTTCCATGCAATTACCAGGATTTAATATAATCTGGATAGTTTTACATGTAAACATGGTTCAAGGTATTGTTTGCCAAGTAATTACTCGAGTATTCATGTAATTTTAACAAAACTTTACTACAAACTGTAGTAATGGCCATTAATATGTTTCGTTTCCTATTTTATTCAAAATCGAACAAGGTGCAATACGCTGAAACATGCGTCTTTGTTATTGTCAAGCGTTAAATGGACGTTAGTGCAATTTACTTTTCTTCTTTAGTCTGTTGCAAAGCGTGAACAATCATTTAATCTTAAGACTGACGTCTGTATACATTATACAAAAAGATGATATTTGTGCTAGACTTTGAGAATAAGTAACGTACTTATCTCGGTAGTGGCTGGTGGTGTTTAAATAAGGAGATATGGGAAATCAATTGCGTCAGTGACAATTTTCGCTAATCGAGAGTTCAATTTCAAGCTTTCAGTTTTCTACAAAATTTATATCCGAACGTCATTTTTATTGCTCCAAAAATACATATATTAATTGCGTGGGATGAATAGTTCAATATAAATGGTACGATGGATTTTCAGTATTTTAATTTAATAATATCTTTGAAAGTCCATCGTTCCTTTTCTTTCCAAGTATTTTGTGATCCGTAGAAAATTTGACATAAGCCGCCCTAAAGCAAAAATGTATTACGATAAAGAAGTATTATTACAAATTGAAAGGACCAAACGCTGGCAAATCGCCGCAACCTTTTTTGTAAGTTTTATAGCGAGAAGGAAGGAGAGCATTTAGATTTTAGAGAGAACTTTTACTAAATCTTTGTAAAAGATATCTTTTTATATTTAACGAATGATCCTCTGTGTGCCTAAAGAGCATTATTTTGCTCGACCATCTAGAACCTAAATTGTATAACATCTTAAATAATAACAGCAATGTATATAATTCTGTTTACAAACGATAAAGGAATAAATCACAATTTTTCTCAAAAGTAATCATCCTAGTCTCTTCATTCCATGCGTTTAAATAAAATTCTCATAAGGACGAAACAGCGTTTCTCCTGGTGGGAGAATCAATAATTTGATATTCCGGAGAGACGGACTTATACCTGCTGTCTTTGAAACATCGAGTGACGTGGGGAATACGTTCGAGTTACTCGACGATATAAAATTTGTCGAAAAATCAATGTATCTTCAAATTTTCCAAATGTATTACAGTCATTATTATGGCAACCTTATCGTCAGTTTTTACTTTTTTTTTTAATGAATTGAAAATGAAAATTATGAGAATTACGCAGATTCCTTGACACCAATATTAAATATAGATAGTCAGTACACGTCCAATAATTGGCACCGCGTGTCAATAAATTATAAATAATCTGTCTATTGCCACAAAGTATCTGTCACCACGAGGATAATATTTATTACTTTCCTGATTTTCTAATACAACCACAGAGCTTATGGATTGAAAAAGCATGCATTCAGCTTCAGTGTGGGAAGAAAGTCAAGGTAAGTCGAGGCGCTTCAAATTACCTAAATAATACACCTACGACAGAAGTTTGATTATAGGCGTATTGAAGGAGTCCAATAAAACAATGGATGATTCGGTCAGTCTACATGAGGAGATCAACTTCATGAGGGACAAATGTGAATTTCTTTTATCAGCTCGCTTGCTCGCCGCTTTTCAAAGAAATTGTAGGACTTATCGGAGATAATGGAGATAAAGTTAATTTATCATATACGGGATTTTGCTATCATTCATACTTAATATTAAACCGGGAATATTCTCAACTGAGAATTTTATCCTGCAGCTCGAATATCATAATAACAACGTGGCACAATTTTGCATTTTCTATTTTCATTTCCACGACGAAGAAAAGTTCATGGGCTATCTCAAAACGAAACGGTAGTGATTATTATTGGCAATAAATATTTTTTATTTAAAATATCGTCCCATGCATTTTCTAATTATTCCAACTATTATTATCATCCATTCGACATTAACAATAAACATCTCGGGTCTTTGTATAGTCACTTTCTCACGTTGTACATACTACTAACACCCGTATGAAAGTCCTCGTGTGCGAACGCGCGTGTGTATATAGACATAGCTGCTTTCGAAGCGATGCAAATTGTTGAATAAACACAATTGTGCGTATGTTGCCGGAATATGAACTATTGAAAAGTACTTATACGGATGAAAAGGTGTCAAAGACACCAAGGTATGCACCAACTTCTTTAAGTTTACCTTAAAAATAATGATAATAACAATGACAATGATACCTGAAGTCGAGGAATATTCAACGGAAATGGATGAATCAAAAGTGACTTATTCATTTGCTTTCTAGAATAAAGACAGCTATGCAATAAATCTATAATTATAATTTCTACAAACAATTAACTATATTTCTTATAGATAATTAGCTACGTAAGAAGGAAAGGTAAATGTTTTTTTTTTTTTTCAAAGGTCGGATATCCCAATGCAGTACCAAAATATATTGGCATTTGAAACTCAATATATATTGCTTTTATCTGTTGATACTGCAGTCACCAGTTAACATTAAGAGTCGTGCGCCAAGAACGAAGACAATAGCGTTTGGGAATTAAGACGTATGAAAAAGAAAAACTATTTGGTACGGATAAACAGGCTAGAACGGGATGATCATTGGGATACTATCGATAATATGGACATAATCTAATTAACAGATGTATGACTAACAAGTGGGATATCACAAAAGAGATAACTTATACGCATGCACAGCGCAGAACCAGGCGAAGCCTCGAATAAATATTTTCTTTATTTTGTACAATTCGTCGAAATTAGTCGGCAGTATGAGGAAAGTTCTTGAAACCTCCAAATTGTGAAGTTATTTCTGAAAAAAGTATCAGGTCTGTGACTGACTTCCACGTCCTCCGTTCCGATGCGCAAGACAAACAGCTATTGTACCATTTAAAATTATGTGTGCAGATTCGGGTGAGAGGAGTCATGGGATAAACATGTTCGTACACTTATCAAATGATATCCAGTAGATAATTCTCCGCGTAGGATACGGTAAATTCGCCAGTCGCATACTGAATTGAAGCGCTTGATCGTTTCACTCACCAGTGGAATTATTCTCGTCGATGCCTAAGGGCTCGGGATTTAGCTACAGCCAGGGCAACGGGATTCTCCAGAATGGAACGCAACACTGTCAGGAATTCAGCTGCTTGGTCTTCGTCAATAGCACGTGCATCGTAGGATAGCGTGGCAGTCATTCTGGTGGACTTGGTCAGGGAAGGGCCTGTAACAGATATCCCAGATATTTGTCGTTTCTATGTACAATTCACGAAATGTAGAATAGTTCACACTTCTTACCTAATTCTACTCGCCCACCTCCAACGGCTAGAATGGCTGTTTGCGGCGGATTGATTATCGCAGAAAATTCTTTGATTCCAAACATTCCTAAGTTGGAAATTCTAAGGAAAAAAAAAAAAAAAAATAATAATAATTGTTATATTATATTTTCTTTGTTGACATCACGTTCAGTTTGTTTTTTCTTATAACGTTACATACGTGAAGGATCCACCCTGAAATTCCTGGGGCTTTAATTTTCCTTCGCGAGCTCGCCCTGCCAGATCTCTAATGTTGCTGGCAATATCAGCTAAGCTCTTAGATGGCGTATCAAAGACTATTGGAGTGATAAGTCCTGTTGGCGTGGATACTGCTACAGAAATATCGACCTTCTGTGCTCGTATTACCTGTATAGAGGATGACATTTATTAACGTAAGAATATCTACAATGAACTCGATTCTTGTTACCTGGCCATTTTGATATAAGCTATTGACATCAGGACACTCGAGTAACGCGTGAGCTACAGCTTTTGTTATTAAATCATTTACAGATACGTTCACGTTATCCGTTTTGAGTTTACTGCGTAATTCATTGAGTTTGTCTATTTGTACATCCACGGTGGCATAAGAGTGCGGTATGTTGGCCTACAAAACATTGTATTATGGAAACAATACAGGATAAGGACTATCATTATTAATGTAGAACTTTATACCTTGGATTCTCCTAATCTTTTGGCGATCACAGCACGAATATTCGATACTTCGATATCTATATAAGGTGAACCCTTTCCAGCTGGTTTTATTATGGGAGAACTAGTAGAACCAGTTCCAGGAGTCTTTTTAGATTCTTCGAGTACAGGAACTGGCATAAAATTCATTAGTTTGAATTGGGATAATTATGCATAAATTAACAATAATTTGAATGTAATTACCAATTATTTGAGTGACTTTTTGTAAATGATTTGCTTCAATGTGAGCTAGCACGTCGCTTTTCAGAAGACGATTTGGCCTGCCTGTTCCCTTTATAGATCCTGAACTCAGACCATATTCTTCTAATAATCGCTTTACAGCTAATCCATACACTCTAAACGAATAATATGAATATTTGTATACAGTATTGTAGACAAATTATAGTCCAATATCAATAAAACAATAGAAAAAGTGTAGTATAAATTGTAGGCACGTACTGTCCACTTGGTGGAGGCTGTGGACCTGCTGGTGCTGCAGTTGTTGAGGGAGATGGCTTCGAAACGGTAGGTTCAGATGTTGGTGCTGTGACAGCCTTAGTTACTGCAGGAACTACAGCTGTTTTCCAATCCGATCCTTTCTCCATAGTTATAGCAATAAGTTGCCCAACCTCCACTTGGGAACCTTCAGGAATCTGTAAGGAAAAAAAAACTAATTCATAAAACTTACTAAGAAATTAAAATCGGAATTGTAAAAAATGAAACCTACAAGAATCTTTGCAAGAATGGCCTCTTCATCCAATTCAAAAGACATTACAGCTTTATCAGTCTGAATATCCGCTAGAGCGTCTCCAGGTTCAATTTCATCTCCTTCTTTTTTCAGCCATTTTACAATAGTACCTGACGTCATCGTCGGTGATAGGGCAGGCATCGCAATATTTTGTCTGGAAGAAGTGAACAGTGTCAATGCTCTATTTGTAAGTGATATTGACATGCGATAACATACTGTCCTGGTGGTGGAGGTTCAGACGATATAGCAGGTGTTGATGACGGTGCAGCTTCAGTTGTACCAGAAGCAGATGACACTAAAGTGGCTGCATCACTAGGTAACTCAACTGATTTCCAGTCCTGGCCCTCTTCAACAGTAAGTGCAATCAAAGTACCAACTTTGATATCTTTGGTTCCCTCCGTAACAATGATTTTTGCTAATATGCCTTCATCATCCATTTCCATTGTAACAACAGCCTTATCCGTTTGTATGTCAGCCACAGCATCACCAGCTTGTATATTGTCACCTTCCTTTTTGAGCCATTTTACAATAGTACCCGACTCCATCGTAGGGGATAAAGAAGGCATGAGCAGTTCCTTGCCTTTGACTAAAAACAAAAGCTCATTATAATTAATCTACAATAAACCTGGACATTCCACTGTCTGTTTACTTTTATTAAACTCAAAAAGAGGTGATACTCGACTCATAAAATGTTGACAGTCTTTCAATTAAAACTGTTCTATTGCATAATCAATGTGAACTAATAAAATCAGACTGTATAAAGTTCTGTTAGGAAATGTAATGATACTCAGTAAATATTCAATATGTTCCTTACAGTAAAAGTGTCCTGTTTGCTATTTCCATGGATACAAATGAGAAATCAAAGGGATCTGAGTACTTCAGAATGTTCAGACGTGCATCTAACCTCATCATTTACCATGTAACGAATACGTACCGTCGAGAATCCAGCTGGTATGGAACCATGATCGTTGATATTTTACAGGTACAAAAAGGCGCGACACAGTCTGATTCGCGAATTTAATAGAAAATAGGCCGACTCTGCACCTCACCATTTGCGCCATTTTCGAGGATGGCGAAAACCGTGACGAGTGGAAGACACAAGTGACCCCTCTTATGTCCTCTGCGGCAAGGTCAATTTCCCTAGAAGAGCAAACCACACGCAACGAACGCATGAAATTTCCAGATAAAAAAATAATGTAGTTTCATTCATTATAAATCAGTATTCACAAATGCCTCGTCAGTGAGGCTGGTAGAGTGTTTCCTGTATAGGCAAATGATTTACTCAGTTATATATTTGACATTAGTTCGTCTTCGAAATTAAACTAAATATTGAATATCTGGCATAATAAGGAAGACTTTAACAAAAACAATATATCGATATTTTTTTCATTAATATTATTCATTTTTTAAAACGCTCTTCCAGAGAATGTGTTACGATCGGCGACGCAAACCGAATTCATATTTGCTGTACATAAATTGTTTATCCTAGGTATCACTTATCATTCCTGAGCCATTAGGATTTCGGCTATCGCACGCCTACATTGTACAATAATTAATATTTAAAATCTTGGAGCAGGTAATCTTCATTGGAATACCTACTCTAGGAAGGATCGATTCTCACATACATGATGAGGTCGATTTAACACTCTTTTTTTTCTTTCTTTCTTATTTACAGTATAGAGCGAACGGTGCACTATGCAGTAAGGCATACATATACATATGTATAATAGATCGTTCAATTTTGTTTTCAATAAAATGAAGAAATTAAAAATATACACAGACTTAAAAGCTATCAAGTAATTCAAAATGTAGTTTGTACGCAATATCATTGGAACCAAAATAGTATCCTCTTTTATAAACACTTATAACAGCGACCCCACAGTTGCGCTGTAGAAAACTTCTTTGTGAGTCCTGAATGGAGATTCACTTAGCGTTAGGATGGCGTCGTCACGCACCCGAGACTAGAAATAAATAGCACAACGTAGCACGGGATATCGAGCACGAGAACGACCCTTCGTATTTAGGAACCTCGCACTAAATTGCTGGAGCACCAATAAAAAATTCCAATTTAAAAAAATAACACGCGCATCTTATTCTAAAGTCAAACACAAAATAAACGCAACCGCCCTGACATGGCTAGAGACTGCTCAAGTTTGATTGTCATAGAGAACTAGTCTATTGGCAAGGCCCAGGGATGATCCGTTATGTAACCATATTGGATGTCCGATAGGCACTTCAGGAACATCTTGTAGATAGGTTCAGGCTGTTCCAGAGTCGGAATGTGAAGACCCTGGCCCGCATAATCAATGAAGGAGATGGGACTGACGATACAGGCTGTACCAGCACCAAAAAGTTCCAGCAACTGCAACAAATAAATATCATTACAAACTAACTACATCAAATCAGAGCCTAAGCAGTGATGTTAACACATTGCGGACCATACATCTTATTGCTAATTATACTGAGTAGCCAGCTATGTTTCTAGATAAATATAAAATACGAGATATTTCGTTATCTGTATACTGTGTTAATATCGATGAGAAAATAATTTGTCATAGGGTTATACGTCATGATACATAAACACCGGTATCATTCCTACCGCAGATCCTCATTTATGTTTCTGATAATAATCGCCCGTATCATCAAAATGATTTATTTCAGTATTTTTGTTTATTTTTCAGATTCTCGTAATGTCAACATTAACTCTCACGCAATTTGATTTCCTGCGTCGTGATTTTTCCCTTTTCCGATTGATCGCGTTTGCGCGCGTTACTCTTCTATATACGTAGATGCATACACACAAACTTACTCTGTTCTCCAAAATCAGTCGATGCACTTCGTCCATAGTAATTTTTCTTTCGCTCACTTTGAACTGCTTCAATTCCCTTCCTAATGCCAGAATGGAGTTCCTGGTGACACCGGGCAGGATCAAACCATTCAGAGGTGGCGTGACTAGTTCCCTTTCTGTTAAAGGAAAAACAAGGCTTTTTACGGACAAAGTCTTTAATTCCTGTAGTAGAACAAAACAAAAGATGGCTCAAAGTGCTTACCGCCATTTTCGTTAAGGTAAAACATAAAGATGTTCATGGTGCCAACCTCCGTCAATTGATTGTCATATCCGTAGAGCCAGAGAACTTGCTGCAGGCCCTTCTCCGCAGCTTCTCGTTGAACGTGAATCGTAGGCGCGTAATTGCTGCCCATCTTACGGTCCCCACAGCCTCCTGGCCAGGCCCTCGTGTATCGGGGATCCGCCAGCAAGGACACTCCTACTTCCTTGCTGCTGTTCTTGAAGTAGGTTCCCACGGGGCACAGGATCACGTAGAGGAGTGCCGAATCCGATGCTGCGACCCCGAGCGTCGGCTATTTCGAAAACCCAATAACACACTGACTATATTACTACAATTATTATGTCAATGTTCAATAAGCGTATTTCATTTGCATGAAAGGAGCAAGTTCAGCAGAAAGAGCAAAAATGCATAAAATCAACAAAGGTTCGGAGGCAGGCAGAATAGATGCAAGAAAGGAAAATTAGTCTTTGTTTGACGGCCAAGCATCAGATCGTAATTACGTCTTAAATGAACGGGAGCATGGTTGCCGTTTCCCAAAAGTCCCCACAACTAAACAATGCTGAATTCTTGGCAATTATTATTGAGCGTTAAATTACTACGCTTTCTAGGCTTCTTTTTAGGTTTCTCATCGGCAGAAGAAGATCTCGCAACAGGACTGGCGAATGACACTTTACCACGATATAGTTGCATCATTTTCTCTATCTCGGGAAGTGACAAATTATCGCGCGACATTGACATTACAGCAACTAGAGATACGAGAATGTCGTTGAAATTAAAGGGAAAGTTAACATGTTACGAATAAAGGGGTTAAGGCAATCGCGACAAAGGTACGGAGGAAAGAAAGAATATTAATACATTTTTCGAGTCGAAATTCCCATTTGTATTCTGAGTAACGGTATCGCCGATTCTTCGCATGGAAACCTGGAAATAGTAATAGTTTAACGATAGATAAGACTACAGACTCTTATCTCGCACCAAGCACAGCATCTTTTGTTACGTGACGAGAAAAAACCATTTAATCACAGAAGCGGAAATCATTGTGAATTTGTGAAAAAGATACTAAACATTGAAAATTGCGTTTGACAAGATTCGAGCAATCTCTAGTCAAGAAACAAACATGGGAATTTCATGAATTTCTAGATTTACCAACCCCCAAGAGCGACTCAGGCTTTAGAATACTTTGTAACTTCTTATATTAATTAATCTGACTGAAAGTTTGTTACTTTTTTTGATTTTATGATCAGGCAGCGCTAACGCCTAATGCAATATTGTTACCCCATCGCTTCGCTCTCTCTCTCTCTCTCTCTCTCTCTCTCTCTCTCTCTCTCTCTCTCGACTGTTCACTGCTGAGCATTACATTCAATCCGCATAAAGCAAACATTTGATAACATACGTAAATGAACCGTGACTTGGACAAAAATCAAACAGATATGCTCCTCTTTACTGCTTTTTTATAAACTCAAGAGCTAAAGAGAGGAGATAACAGATAAGTATTGCCGGTTAAGACTGACTATGGCTGTAATTGTATTCTTAGAAAACAGCAGAAGGTTGCTCCGTGTCGCTGACATCAGATACACGTACCCTTATTCGCATTATTGTTTTCCTATAAATTAGCAAAAGGAAGAAAGCGCACAAGATGCGCAAGTCCACGAGGAATAACGCCTAAAATTTCAATGAAATAATAAAGCATGTATTGCAAAACTCAATCCATAAAGTAGTGCAACTGCATTGGTATTATTATCGTTATAAAGAACACAAATGGGAAATGTAGTGTGAATTAGTCTTTTTGTTACATCACGTTGTGCATAATAGGCGAGAAAACAACACAATAACATCATGATTTATTTCAGCTTATCGCTATTGAGAAATATTAATAAAAATTATCTGTCAAAGCTTGGTGGCATTAAGAAATGTGAGGTCCTTTAACTTTAAATATCATAATTCGATTTAAATCATGAATTATTGAGAAATGATGCAGACGTTTAGAACATATTTATACGCCTAGACGGTAAAATCTTGGCTCTACAACCGTTGTTCGCTCGCTACATTTTTTTCGCAATTTTTTATTCTTCCTTAAACGTTCATCTCTCTCTCTCTCTCTCTCTCTCTCTCTCTCTCTCTCTCTCTCTTTAATTTGCTTGAGACGATACTTACGTCGATGCCTATAAGGGTAGGGCGGATGTAGAGACTCGAAGCTTCCGAATGAGGAACCCATTCCTGGTCTATACTGATTAGCCTGTTCAAACACTTTATCAGCTCATTGCCGTTAAAAGTTGGCAGTCCCGATCGTATTGCAGACGTGTTCATTCTCTCCATATTTAATTCTGGTCGGAATATTCTTATTTTCCCATCTATTCCGCGGTACGCCTTCATACCCTCGAATAGCTGCATATAAATAACAAAAAGCGCCGTTATTTAGTTTTCCGTATTTTTCATGTGCACCTTTTTGTCCATGTCACTCACTTCCACCGCGTAGTGCAGCACTTTTGCTGCTGGATGAAGTACCAGATTCTCAAATGGGGTAATTTCTGGTGCCTGCCAACCACCCAGAGACTCGTAGTAAAAAACCTTTAGCATGTGATCCGTGAAGTATTTACCAAACGTGAGAGCACTCACGTCTGGCTTTGGTTGAAGCTGATGCGGAGCGGCAAGGCGGACGGATAAATCCGAACTCTGCAATTATTTGGACAATCTATGCTTAGACTAATAATTCGAATATGCGCGACGTTTGCCATTTTCTTGAAGACATATGCATGTACCTTGAAGGAACGTTCGGGCTGGATGGATTCTTTGTCACGAATTTTCAGGGATGAGCTCCATCTTACGTTTAGTCGCAGTTGGTTGAGCAGACCACTCCTGACCAGAATCTGTGACAGGAAAAACATTTATCTTCTTTGAGTCAAAATGGAATTACGGCAACGAGTCGCGAGACCCACCGTCCTTTTAATGTACTGCATGTTCCTATTCGTGAGTTTCAGCGATAATTATTCAGGCCAACACACGTGATGCATGTTGCTTAGTGCGACACGAAGAGTGAGGCAAATTATAATTAGAAAATGTCATCTTGTCATAATTTTGTTCAGTTTGCTTTACTAATAGACCGCTAATTAACTGTTATATACAATTAGAAGTAAACTTTCAAATTAAGATTCTTCGACAAAGTTATGTTACGTAGAGTGAATGTTTCTCGCGCCGTATGTATTAGGTGACAAAAACGAACTCACTTAGTTTGTAGGTTAAGTCAAAAGTCAACGTGATATTTCGAATAACATTTAAGAACCAGCTAGCGCGTAATATAAACTATGGTAATTATGCAGAATACGTAAGGACGATTCTAGAAACGAAAATAATGAGATTCGAGGGCGAGTTAAATAAGTACGAATAAGAATTTACCACAGACACAGCACTATATTTCTGGTTCGTAGAGATGTCAAAGAGCACAAATGAAGATAGCACCACTCTTGCACTTTAGAATATGGAAATCCATTTACTTTCATATTTAAAAGGATAATGAATAAAATCTTAACAGACTCCAAAAAATCCTTGACTGCACTACTCCAAGCGTCACGTTATTATATTCACGTTAGGATAGGTTCCTACCAGCCCACGTGAGGTTAGTTTATGAGGCACATTTAAATTTCAACACGGCGACAATGTCGAGCGCGAACAATATTGCACAACAGAATTTGTCCATTTCCAAAAAAAAAAAGGTTTTCAAAAAACATACATATGTTTTCACGGATCTCTTCGAACGGTGAAACAGATGGCATGTATTTTTTTGCAAACAAAACAAATTTTATAACCACATATCCAATAGTAAGACTTACCTTACGCCTTAGATGAACCATTTTTACACTTTATTAATTAACGTTTAATTAAAGCGCAATACTCGAGATGTCGAGATGCACAAACCAAGGCACATTATACGCTTATTATTCACAGTCGAGTACTATTTCCCACGTGCAAAGTATGAATACCATACAATTCCTCAAAGAAGCTTCGATGAGGTAACCGTCAATTGTCCATACAAGAGTCTACTTAACATATTTTGTCAATAAGAAAATGAAAAGAATAAAAGCAAAAGGGGGATAAGGAAAAGGAGAGAGAGAGAGAGAGAAAAGAGTAAGCCGTAAGAAAATGAAAATAAGTGTCAAACACAGCTGGTGCAGAATACCAAAATAAGTTTGCAGAATAATTGGAAAAGATGGGCAAACGTGTGTCAGGCCGGTAACCATAAACGATATTAACTAAGAAAAAAGAAGAGGAACCGCACTGAGAAAAAAATTGGCAGCCGAACGTGCACGCACTTGCTTTAATTTCCTCGCGCTCTCGAATAATGAATTTGAATGAACAACCGGCTAATATTTTATTTATCAGTCACAAGAGAAGCAGGAGCGAGAGAGAGAGAGAGAGAGAGAGAGAGAGAGTACAAGAAAGCATGCATGTGTGTACATACATACATACTGGTGTTTGTGGACATTTTAAAGAAAAACTGATAGAGGGAATATGAGTTTTCCCCACCACGCACAAATGTTAGGAGACGGATCGTTGACGTAGGAAAGAGGTCTTCATCGCGTAAATATCGTTGCTCGCGAAAGGGAAGAAAAAATTGCGTGGCTCTAATGTACACATCCAGGCAGCATAAGAGAGAAGGAAAACAGAATAAAAGTATTCATAATTCGATAACACAGCGTCCCCCGTCCTCGACTGATAAGGCAAGACACTTGCTGAATAACTTGCCAATTCCTCATTTCTATGCGTGTACAATTATTCGAGAGTTCATCTTCTCCTGTTGAATGTTCGTCGTCGACGTCTCGAGGTTCCGACGTTCAACGTCATATTCATGGCCGACGCCTCTTTCTTAGGTTGGAAATGTTATTGCGCACTGCAGTTGCGGCCATTACGGAAACAAATATTTTGATTGATAGATATTTACAATAATTCCTTGCGGGACTGAAGAAAAATTTGATTAATAAACACGAATACTTGTTATCTTTGGCCACCGTGTGTAGATACTATTGTTGGCTGAACGATGAGGAATAGAAAGAATAGCGAAATAAATTAGCAGTTGATACTGTGATGTTTGCGTATCACGTTCTGTATCGTATGATCATTCTCGTAACGGAAGTAACAAGTACAACGTCACCTAAACGGTGTAAGCATTATGTAAGGGAATACAATAATATGTTTTTTAACATTTAACAGGGTAACGATAAGAACAACGTGCTACAGATAATGCTCAATTGATATATATATAGAGAGTACAATAACGACAGGGCTTCATCGAATGAGTATTATATAATAACTAGATATTATCTTGGTGAATTTATTAAATGTATGGATACCTATATACAAATCACGTATATGAATAACTACGCCATTTATGTAAATCATGGGGTTCGATTAATTAACGTCTTTACGATAGTAAAGATCTAGCGCCTATTCAAATATACAAAAAAAGACTGATACGGACACACGTCCGTGTATGCTGTTTACATTTTCTTTTCTCAATTAGCTACTATACTTTCTTCTACCAATAAATAATCAATATCTAATGCCAACGATTGTACGACTGTCTTCTCGTAAAACAATATTAATGTGGGCCTTACCGTGTTCGGCTCATCGTATCCCTTTTACTTCGTTTTTGTAGATAATTATTCTGATTTTTCGAGAGAAAGTTATTTTCAGCAGTCGATAACTAAGCGAATATGGTATATAAACGTAATGCAGCCTAAGCCTAATGTAACCACCTCGTGTCTAAGACATATATGAGCCAATATGCCCTGCATTAGATGGTTTATATGGGTCTATTCTGATGTCGTGGACGTATTCTTAATTAAAAGTTTATGGAAAGTCCGATTGCCACTAAATGACTAATTAAAGAATAGAGAAAAGTCCATTTCTCAGCGTACCGTGAACTGGAATGCAATCGGTCGCTTATCTTGCGATCGTAGTGAAAGCGAGAGAAAAAACAACGAATGAGAGAAGCCCGCAGATACGAAAAATAAGTCGAAATTTTTTATCGCTCTAGATTACACAAATTTTGATAAAACGATGATAATACATATCGATATATTGCCTAAAGATAACGCAATGCGGGATAACTCGTTATATTCGTTTCTCGGATTTTTGGCACAGCATTTTATTTAACATATTGGTTCTATCGTTTTCCTTTCCTTGCATCGGCGTAGAGAACCCCTACCTGCTACACGTGAAACAATTTCAATGACATTATCGCCTATTATATCTTTTGGAGAAAAACAGTCGATTCTAAGAGATTCTAGAGACTTTTTCATCAGGATAATGTGAAACTTGTTTTTCTTTTTCCTTAAATAAAATATGTTCTACGTGTAGGCAGGGCGTCGAGTAATTTTTATAAAAAAGGGACTACTGCAAATTCGGCTAAAGTACTATAGTCATCGCTTACAGTCGAAGATTAAACGCTGTTAGAATTTAATAAATATGAGAAAAACATGTTCAGCGCGCTTTGTGTCATTCTATGAGAATCGAAAGGTATTTCATCGTTTACAGGACTCTGACATTATCTGTAGATCTATTGTAGTTCTTGCCCTATTGCTTGATATTTAAGGCTAATGCGTAATCTAACTCGTCCCATATTTCGATTACCATTCAATTAGATCTCATCGTCCGTATTGATACTTTTCCAATTGTACGCATCGCTCTAATGGTTACAAGCATGTCTCTCGATTTGGTACTATTGGTTAGTAATCGGTTAGATGATCCCGTTACATTGATTTACATGATCACAGCACATGGAAAGATGGTTAAATACTTTCGAATTATGTTTTCGCGGCTTAACACTCTGTGGATTAGAAAAAGCAATAAGTGCTTTTTACCAAAATTTCTTGTACCTTATGGAAACATCCTTAAAAGATCAGATTAAAGGATGGAAGCACAACGGCTTCGCGTCACGTTCGTTTCACGAATACAGTCTTGTAGCTATCAGCAATGTCAATATTTTAGTATTTTTCTAAATTTTACTAAATCTCAAATAAATCTACGAAATTCGCCATCATTCTTGTCAAACTTTCTAGGCTAAATAAAGTTTGGCTAATAGAGAGGGGGAAAAAATTACTTTGCATAATTTAACGCATGGTCAAGTAAAGGATTGTAATAAAAAAATTGTGACTATGACCCCCCTCCCCTCACACGGAATATCTTAAGTTTCATTAAAAAAAAGAAAAAGATCTTGTTCTTCGTTATGTGATTATTTGTCGACTTCCTGCCAGTTATGTGTCACCTTCTTTGTTTTATGTTATTTTGAATACCTTTATCTCCCCCCCCCCCCCTCTCCATTCGCCAGTATACTTCTTTTTTTACAATCTGCTCAAATTAATAGAAAGATCTATAGATAAAGTTTCACTAATAATATCGCGCCTTTTCTTTTTCTTTTTCAGGTCGATCAGGCGATACGACCCGATCTTAAGATCTTTCTTATCACAATTATGCGTAGTTTGAAACACGCTACACAGCTGATTAAAAAATATTTTAGTAGTTAATCTGTATCTATTAATGGAATGAGATTCCGTGGCACCGCTTTAATGAATCTTAACGGTATCCGTTATCGTTCTTCCAATACTTACGCGATTTCGAAATTATATTGAGTATTTATAAAAAGAGCTGTCCGCCATCTTATACTCGTATCTTCCGTTTGTGTGCCACTAAATCTCGTTTCAGATGATACACGAGAACGATGACGGAATAGTATAATCGCACGTATCGCACGATTCTTCAGACTTTGCGATAATAGGTTACTACAACCCCATAGTAATCCATCTACAGTGGTGTCCAGCGAATGGTGTCCACCGATACCTAGTCGATATACTTCAAAAGTAATTAGAATCATAATCACTTGCTGATTAGGCACACTTTCGACTAGGTACAATTTGACTTAGAACAATTTTGAGCAACGTATCACTCTTGCGGACTGTCCACGTTGTTACAAACTTCCTCATTTATGGTGGTCAGGTTACTGTTTTTCTGGAGCGCCTTCTTCTCGAATTCCTCCCTGTCCTCGCCCACTCTAAGACTCCTCTCAAGAGTCTGTCGATTCTGATCCATTCTATACTGACTCTCCAAGGTGTCGCGTTTTTGATCAATGTTAATAAAGTGCTTTTCAAATGCTCCATAAGACTCCTGATCCATATCTCCTTTGCGTTGAGTTATCGACGGAGACGCGTCGGGCGAACTATCGGGATAAGAATAATCGCCGAACCCACCATATATTGGAGATTCCGAAGGATACGGAATGGTCGGATAGGGAATTGGTACGGGTAGACCACCGTTTTGCGAGAAGAACATTCGTCGGTACTGATTATAGCATGTACCGTCCTGAAAAAGTATTTGCCAGTCAAGTTGTGGCATCAAGTAAAATTATTCTCAGAATTTCCGAGTAGTTGACTTACCGTATTATAATGAGAGGTCAGAGCCACCTCGGATGCCCGTGATTTAACACACACTGGTTGAAAGATGCTGAGGAGTGTCCACGTGGGTAGGAAATATTTTAGCACTACCACTATTACCGTCAGGGAACTAAAATACAGCTGAATATGATTGTAAATTCCGCTACAGCCTGTTTCCTCTCGGCCCACTGCAACAGATTTTCGTATGACACTTGTACCACAACGTATTATACATTTTAATCACATGGCATAACACTCTAGGATCAGTAGGATTTGCTTACTAAAGGACATAACTGCATCAAAAACTATGGATACTACTGCTGAAATTTCGTATACAGCTGTGATGAGCCATAAGTCGCGGGTCTGTGAGGACGCTATTGGTAGCATTAGTGCTGAAATGGCTGAGTGGCTGTTGTTTTGAGTTAGGTACAGAGCTACCACTGCGAATAATTGCACTGCTATAAAATCTGCACCAGATAGCATCAGCCAGTAGGGTCCTGGATGAAAAAAAAGAATTTTGTAAACATTTGGGGAATAAATGTAAATTAGTAGACAGATGTATTACTTACTGAGACATTCTGTCCATGTTCCACTGATATCCACCATTCCCATTAATACTACAGTAATATAGTACAATGTATAGAGACAGAGCACAGGATTAACAACATGTTGTACTATATCATCCCTGTGCCGTGAGCTCGCTGCTACTGACCAATATAGGTGACAAATCAGAATAAACTGCAGTAATTTGAAAAAATTTGTTGTAAAATCCAACTGTGGATATCTTATGCCAAATACGAAACTGGCAGCACTGCGAAAGTAAAGTAAAATAAACAAACGTTAATCCCATGATAGTACAATCACATTTTCTTAATAGGCATACCACATAATGCACTGGACAGCTGATATGTAGAAGATAGCATAATGATGCATCTGAGAATATTTGTATGCATGGTATTTTATTATTTTGGAAACTACAAAGAGAAATGTCAGTACTGAGATTACAACCAGGATGCCTACACGCCCACAGGCGATTCCATCATACGGCTCAAAACATCCCCTGCTAAGAACATCTAATGTATCATTGCCATACTTTCTGCTTCGAGCCATGATGATATTTTTCTCCTGAATAAGATCACAGTGAATCCTCTACGAGCATCTAAATTCCCATTTTTCCTGTTACAGAGAATAAGAAGAAATGTAATAATTGTTACATGGAATATACGCAGCTGGCATAGGGCTTCACCCAAGTAATGCAACCCTGGCTTCAGGGTCCAGCAATGTGTTTTATAGCGGATTTAAAACAAAACTACAAAATATACAAGGTCATTGAATCTCACTGGTATTTAAAACAGCCAAACTTCCAAAACTTAATAAAAATTTTATTTCACAAAGATATTCTGTCAAAATTTGTATGAAATCATGTTCCTTACCTCTCTCACGCTAGTGCTTCTTGATGTAAGGATTGGCTGCCAGTGCATTCGCAGTAATCATGATTACAAGCTGCGATTTAAATCTGAACAGCAATGCAAAGTCACTTTAAAGACGCGTACACTTCATAATTCACAAATTGTCGCGTGTATCTACCCTGTCTCAAGCAATTACAGGGTGATACAGGGTGATGGTGATAGAAACAGACATGTTTATTATAGAAAGGAACGGCAACCGAAGATTCACGAAAATAGCCGATAACTACCGAGGATGAAACATTCGTGCTGCCATCTTTTTTTCAAATCCGTTCAAATTACAACGGTCCTTCTCGTTAAACCTTTCTAGGGCAGTGATTTAAATCTTTTACTCGTGATAACAGCGTCAGTTTCGTATCCCGTGTCAAGTAAATTCTGCAGTGTAATAATCGTTGCAACAATGTTTCGGGAACTTTGCCCGAAGACGATGGAACGATGGAAACACAAGAGCCCGAAGAAATGATAGGATTTATCAATTATCGCTGGCACTGCTGTTAACTTTTGGTAAGTAAAATTTGTACATTACCTGACATACGTGTGTAAGGTAGAGACTTTAAACGGGAAGGTTTACGTTTCTTTACTGGCACGATGTATAGAAATAACTGAATACTTGAATAATTAAACGATTCCGTGGAAAACGAGGGTCTGTACGAGTTATACCGTTTTGAAAACTTAATGAGACGTCCTATTTCGAGCTTGTTACTTTTGTTATTAAGTCCCGCTATGCGATAGATACGCGAGATAATACTGTTGGGACGTACGTATGGCTGAGTGTAGTAGGCATAGGTTGCATGAAACGTTGAAACTTCCTGCATGAAATCGACGCACGTCCCAGTGTCCTTGCGTGTCCGGATTTAACCGTCACGATGCTTACAACAGTACGTGCCTACGCTCCTTTGGAAGTCTGTTAAATATGCCGAAGCTTATACGGTCTACGGAGTCCTTTGTTCTGTCGTATTCGGGTCATTACAAAGGGCCAATTACGTATAGCAAGGTTAGAATATTTAATGTAACAGATATAGATATAACAACGACACAACCACGATGTGCTGCGAATTTTTTGCCACATCAACGTTAGTCGTGAAATGAGAAATGAAATTAGAGATATTGTAATATATTTATTATATATAACTTTGCATTACTTATGACTGTAGTTTATCCGTACAGCTCAGTCTCTATATAAAACCTATGAGTCATCATTGTCTTCGATTAATTAATATTACTCTAATTTTCATAAAAGTTAACTTCCTCCTTATAAATAATTAATACGATCCGTCTGTCTAATTATTTTCTCCTGCATTCTTCGCGGTCAGCATTCTCCGGCCAATCGCATATGAATTTTCCTGTGTTATAGACTGTACCATCGCGACACTGGAACTTCAATGGTTTTCCATAGACGCATCTGTAATACTGAAATGAAAATAATGCATAAGAATCGGTATCTTAAAAATAGTAAATTGAATGCCATTAAAGTCACCAGAATGCAATCCTTCGCCGGCATAAAGTCCTCGTCAGCACACTTGATCTCATTAGAATCCTCATCAATTTCATTAGTCACGGGTTTGGCAGTCGTGGTTGTGGGTTTCATTGGCCTCGTAGGCTTCGTCGTCTCCTCGGTCTCCCTCCAAGGCGTAGTGACAGATATTGGCTTGTGAGCAGGAGTCGGGATCCTGGTCGTAGGTTCGGTAATGTGTGCCGGAGGCTTCTTCGTAGGCTTGTACTTGCCTTCGTCCTTCGAGGCCGGAGTACTGGGAGGTCTGGCCCACTCGGGCTTCAATTTAAAATGAAGTTACGTCGCAGCGGATAGAAAGTAAGGAAGAAAAAAAATGTTAAGTCCGGACTAGCAATGCAGTTACCCTGGGTGTAGTGTTGTACGAAGGACTTGGGACTTTGTAATTCCTGAGGTTATCGTGGAGTATCCTTATCAGTGGGTTAGTCTGCCCGCAAAGCCCTTGAAAATCATCCATATCGATAGCCCAGGTCATTGCTCCCGCGTAACCCTTGGACTTTATGAAATCCATCTTGATCTGCACGCTCTTGGGATCCTCGTACCCGACCCACTGCGTACCTGAATAAGTCATCCGATTAGCAGGATTCGTGGCGGTCGGCTGTACACATTTTCGGGCACGCGTTTCCATTTGCATCTTGCGATGCGTCGCCTTTCGTGGGACAGCTTCTCTTTATCGTCTTTTCTTTTTTAATCTCACGTGGAAGGTGGTACAAGGGCCATTGTATGCAGATGAGAAGGTTCTCGTGACTCACGTACCCAAGAAATAATCAGTTATGCCAGATCTTCTGTTCTTACCTTTGTAGGCGTAGGGGACCTTGCCGACGGCGTCCCATTCCTTGGTCCAGCCAGACTCCGGATCGTTGACTTCGGGACAGATCTGTCGGGAATGACATCAATTACTACGATACTTGGGTAAGTGGAAAAAAATGGACTGCCAGTCATTGCTGCACGTACTTCCGTTCGATCCTTCTCCTGTTTTTAGCTGGGCTTTAAAAATTATCTCAAGGTACAAGATGATTAATGCACTCACTTCGTAATAGGCCAGGAAGCCTTTGGCTTGGGTGTAATTACCCGGAGCACCGCCTCCTGCTTCCTTGTTGATGTACGTTCCGAGATTGTAGTTCTTGTTGCTGTTGCTCAGGGTGAAACTGCGCCCGTAGAACGGAATTCCAACTACCAGCTTGTTCGCTGGGCAGCCCATATCGACCCACAGTTGCAGACCGTCGTTCTGAATAGTGATGCGGAGTTGAGGTTAGAAAATTAATCTTTTCATTTATATATGTATACATATATGTGTATATACAATAATCCGTTTCCCAACTAACCACGTTCAGTTTCTCGTAAGCCCATTGATCGTGTGGCCGCTTGTACAGTGGACTATGTACATCTGCGAACCCTGCCCAGTTTCCACGAAGATCATAGGACATCACATGTATAAAGTTCAAGTTTCTAAAGAAAAAAAATGGAAATTCTTTACGGGTCGAATAAGAATCGTTGATTGATATGAAGAACGAGGGAAAGCGCGCGTCAGCGATAAGGCGTCACGTCACGTCTTTTCGTTTCCTCTTTCCTGCCGATTATACTCACTCGCAGAGTTCGGGAACGTGGTAGCCCTCCTGCAATCGAAACTTCGCCAAGGGCACCGCCATCGTTATCTCCCAATCCTTTTCCTCCCGGTCGAAGGCCCTGCGCAACTCCTCGACAAAGTACAGGAACTTATCCTTGTCGGAGAACTTGCCCCCTCTGTCAGCAGCCCCAGGATACTCCCAGTCCAGGTCGAATCCGTCGAAATCATACTTGTGCATGTACTCGACGACGCTTCTAATGAAACTGTCCCGACGCTCCTTCACGGCCACCATGTTGCTGTACTTGCGGCCACCCTCGGCCCACCCCCCCACGGCCAATTGGGTCTTCAAGCCCGGAAACTTGTACTTGAGATTAGTGAAGTTCTTGAAGCCATTCTGATCAATGTCCAGCTCAGGATCCAGGACCAGGACCTCCCAGGTGACGTTGCTCACGCCGATGAAGGAGTAGATCACGTGAGTGCACAGATCCCCCGGCACGTCGTCTATACCATACTTCCCAATTCCAGGCCGGTATATGGCCCAATTGCTGAAGTAACAGGCGACCCTGGCGGATTCACTCTTCTCCTCTAAAAAGAGCAAAGTCAGGTACGGCGAAGCTTTTCGGAAGCATCGGGAGGTAGAGACTCACCGGCCAGCACGCATCCCAGGAAGAGTACACCGCATAGAATCAGCAGCTTCCCGGTCCAGGCCATGGCAAGATCTGCAAAAGATAGTAAATAAACTGATGGCATTAATTCGCACGCGATTTCCATCCTTCAAGGAGGATCAAGACGAGGGCGACCGGTTTAGCAAGAAAGATCGCTGACATCGCTCAGAAGTCCGTTAACCATCATCTGGCTTATCATCTGATACAGTGATACAGTAATGCTAATCCCCTGTCGCGCTTGTCAATCCGTAAGACAGCAGCGCCGTACTCGCAACTGTGTTGGCTGAAATTGGTTTTACCCACCGATAAGAACCAGTTAAACTTGTAATTTTAAGAACAAGGCTCCACCTATCCGTGTGGAGCGTGTGGAGCGTGTGGAGCGTGTAGAACGCCTATAGAGCACTTCCAAGATGAACGCGACCACCTTCTCAAAGTAGGACTCTACTAATCTGCTGTGGATTCCTCAAGAGCCCACTGCTAAATGGAGTAGCTATCTCCTATGCGAATAAGGATAATTCTATTGATTGAAAGTCCCTCCAACCAATCGACAAATCAGAGACTTCCTCGATGGGAGAGAGAAAATTTCTCTGGTTGATGAAAGAGCTATCTGTACCTTTACTTTTTTTTTTTTTTTTTTTTTTTTTTTTTTTTTTTTTTTTCTTTTTTTTTTTTTTTTTTTTTTTTTTTTTTTTTTTTTTTTTTTTTTTTTTTTTTTTTTTTTTTTTTTTGACAAGGGGCATCGATTTTCTCTTAGCATTGTGCAATTCCACGGTGACGGTACCGTAACGACCACAAAAACTATTTATCCTCTGTTTTGAGTGATTGCACCAATCAGCATGACTCTCTTGATTGCTTTATATGCCAGCAATAAGGATATCACGTGGGCGTTAGACACATCCTGGCCTGTCCATTCTTCAGGAAGTTCTATAATTTTTCAATAAAATGCACCATTGTTCCGAGTCCTTGGATTCTTCGAGTCGAGTAGTAATGTAAAGGTTACGGGGGACATCGCGAAGTTGACGGCAACTCGGGAACAAAGACGGCGCTTAGTGGATTGCGAAAATGGTCTTGGATCGTAGCTTTGGAATTTGGGAAAAATACCTGACTGTCCTTTATTTATCTTGGCTGCATACCGCGAACGTGCGTGCGCTTCCTCGTATGTCAGTAAACTAATAAACGAATGGGAAATAAAAAAAGAGACGTTCGGCGACCTATGGGCATCGCTTGTCTTCCTTTTCCAGCAGATTCCTTTTCTTGGGACTTATTAGAATGCCAGAAGCGTACGCGTCGCTCTTGTAGCCTTCGATCATCATCTATTCCGCTTCGTGCTTTACGCACGACGAATACAAACTCTCTTTCTTGTATTGCTGGCCGACGCGACGCGACTTTATTTTTTTTTTTTTTTGTTTACTCTCCGAGGAGCTTACCGACAGGAATCATCTCTCTCGTTATCGCGGGAACCCGAAATCATTGCGTTGCCCTGAGATCAGGGACGAGCAGTAAAACTGGAGATGACGTAGGAGGACCAGGAGATTTTCTCTCAAGTGCCTGAGATTCGGCAATGACGGCAATGACGGTTGTCATTAATTACGTTACTTTCTATTGCTCGGGACGGGGCGGTGGGACGAACGGTGTCAAGAATGCAATGCTCTGCCGACGCCCGTCGTAGGATGCACGGTAAATCTCACAAGATGCCTCTTTGGCTCCTTTACGAGACGCGATAATCGTCAAATATTCGACGTACCAATTCCAATGCCAATTTATTAGCTCCTATAGACTGCTAGAGCTACATTGACGGCGATTTAGGGTTCCTTAAGGATATTAAGTACTCTAATTAAATGCTCTCTAATGGAAATTATTAATTTCCGAGCGATCGAGCCTAGGAATTTTCTCTTTAAGAGGAAATATCAAAATTATTCGCCTGATTACTGCGACAAGTATTATAGTATAAAACACGCTGATAAATATGTCACTTGACTCCTTGCACGTTCGTATGATTCAACTACAGAGCGAAAAACGAGGATCAAATCAATATACACGCCAAATCACAGGATGGTTCCGCAGCTCCCAGGAAACTCGGAGGAGACTTTTCGGTTCAGGAAGAGGAACTTGACCGCGGATACAGTGGACTCAGTGGACTCAGTGGACTCACCTGGTTGACAGCAGCGTAGTTGGAAAAATCGGCGACGAGGCCGAGGGTGATCGCATATATACCAAGGTGGGCCTCATTAGGATTCAGGTGCACGAGCAACGCGCTATTGGCTGGTTCGTCGACCTGATGCCTCCCCCCTACCAGCTCCCCAGTGAGCATCACAATCTACGATCCTCATCCTCGATCCTCATCCACCACCTCTTCCGCCTCTTGGTCTCCTCGGAGCCTCAGGATGTTACAAGATCACCATCAAGTCGAATTTCAGGTCTCTTGGAGGAGATGCAGAATCGACACATGGAGAAAGGATATTGGCGTTGCTCTAATTGCGCGAATAGGCAAATATCGGATGATCAGGTAAGGGAGTCAGGTAGTAATGGAATTTGGAAAATCTCGAAAGGTCATTATGAGCGACAGCGCCATAAGACTCTAGGCGATGGCATCAAGATCAACGAGATTAACACGTCAACCTAAATCCCAAGAGTTCTTTTCCATGATGTTTCTAATCGACTGGCGTCAATGCTCGCGTTGGCGCTGCTTCCAGGCCAAAAACTATTCCTCCTAGCAAGTTCGTTCCAAGGAAGCGACTGACATTCAATTATTATCTTGCAGAGCGACTGCTAGCTTGTTTTCTGCAGTGAGTCAACCTGGAATGTCTGGCCCAGCCCAATAGCATTCCTTGTGGATTCAAGAGGAGTCGCTAAATGCTGGCATTTTCTTCGAGGACCTTACCGGAGGAAGCCCCTGTGGATCGAAATCAGTCTTCTTGTCTGCTGGACTCCTGAGCCATAATTTCTACAGGACATGTTTCGCTCCATCCGTAGAATTCGCGTCAGTAGAATTCTGCAATCTCCTGCTATTGCTGCAAAGGATCCTCCTTATCACTGGCAAGGGCTCTGGATCCTACAATGCTGGTCATCGACGCGCATGACAAACGGACAAACTGAACGAACCGGTATTAATCCAAACTGGAGGACATCCACCCCGCGATGCTCGCAAACTTCAGAGTTCACAACGTCTTCGCAACGACTTGAATTGTGTGGAACAAATAGAGATAGAAGGATTTACGAAAAAAAGAAACGGGAGGATCAAGAGGAATAAATTTTGCGCCGAAAACGAAGCATTTGCGATAGTTTCGATACTGCATTTACATAGATGGGGGGCAAAGATATTGACTGAACGCCATGATATAAAAACCAGTTTTTTTATTTGTCGTGAAACAGTAATAACATTAAATGACATATCGTCGTGGGCATCTTGCGACGAAGCGAGAGGGAAGGAGAGAGAAAAGGAAAAAAGTGAGAGCACACGAAACCACAAGGAAGTGAGAATAGCGTGGAGGGGCAAGCAGGGGGAGATCGAAGCAACGCTGAAGAAAGTTAAAAGTATCGGATCTAATTCTTTGTTTCTCGATTCGATGTTCGTTTCTAATTCTTTGTAAAGCTGCTGTCACCCTCCTCTCGCCCGTCACTCTCGCTTATCATTTCCTTGTAATCTCCCACCTTCGCGCGGCCACAAGTACTGCCCCACCCTGCTTCAATAGGTTTACTGTTTTACTGTTTTACGCGTCTAGCATTCGTTGGCCTATCTACGAAATACAACGCAATGGCTGCATAATATACAATAACTATGCAATAATCAACAGATTAATATTTGTATAATAATGTCAAAACAATAGAATTGAGCGTCTATAATGTCGATCCTTCCATGCCAGGGATTCTCGTGGTGTCCTTCCTGGCGCTTCCTTGTATCGGGCCAATTCGCCCAGGCCAAGGACCAGGAGGACGAGCATCCTGCTGGGACGTGGAATAGTGGTTGTGCGTCACGACGCCACAGCGGCGAAGCGTCTTCTTTTGGTTGGTTTTGGTCCGATAATGAAAAAATTCTACGGGTTACTTATTCTCATCCATGGGGAACTGTCGGAAAGAAGCCATTTGAAAATACTACGTCGCTGTGGCGTTGCGCTCCCACGCGTCAATATCCTCTATTCTCTAATTGCTATTATTATGTACATACGCATATAAACCTATAATAAGGATCTCTCGTCGTAATATATTGGTGTATCTTAGTCTGTCGCTTCTTACTTGGATCTAATCCAAGCCGTCGTGCTCGGCGGCCTTTCGTTTGGCATACGTGAACGTCGAATTTATCCAATTTTAGTCCTTTTTCCCCTCTCGAGCGAATAAAATGCGTGGCGTCCAGGAATTTGACATTAGCAACAAGAATGTATTTTGACTCGAGCTTATTATTATTTCTTAATCGAGAAGACGAGCGTATCGTTGCGCCAGCCATGATCCATGAGGTTGTTAGTCCTGCTGTTTACCGAAAATTAATATTTGTGATCACACGTGGTGATTTTCTTCTTGGCCAGGTGTCCAGTCCTTATGGGCATTTAAGAGTCACTGCTCGTACCGCCTATGTTTCTTTTTTATTTTTTCTTATTGCAGATTTGACTTTTCACAGTCGCACGTGCACACACACGCACACACACACACTCACACAGTCAGTAGTAGGCCCAACCTTTGATGCATTCTCCATTTAAAAGGTACAGTCGCTAATGAGTCTAGTAGAACTTTCATCAGTATGCATGCTGCTGCGGTTTCTTTCGTTCTTCCTTTTCCCCATTTATTTTCTCTTAAAGCCGTACCGAAGCCATTGGGTGACCAAGCCAAGACCAATGGGATGAAAAGGTGAAAATAAATGTGAAACAACAAATCCAACGAAATCCATTGAAAATTTCCAAAGAATATTGAAGTACGCGTTTACAGGTGTGTAAGCGGCACCAGGTACTGGAAGTACTAAATCAGTTTGCATTGAAAAATTTGACTTTTTAAATTCACCGTGAGTGCGAGAGAGACAGAGTTATGGCGATGCCCGTGTTCTCAAGAGATGGAGAGAGACGCCGGCGAGTAGAATTCTGGATAGGATAGAAGACAGCAGCAGCACAGTGGAGGCAATTCCCTAAAGGTGTCAGGTGTCTCTATCCAGTAATTCGGGTCAATAATGTATCTGTCCCTCTCTAACGCACCAGCGCGCACATAAGACGCTCTCTGTCCCACCCGTGGCAGGTATAGGGCGCTTCGGAATTTCGACGATACAGTTAATTTCAAGGAATAACACGTGAATACCAGTCGCTTGCGAAAGTTCTCTTATGTGGTGGATTTTTGGATTTCCGGATTCACGTGGTCAGCAATGAACAATGTGATATCTTGCTGGAATTTCACTGGGAAATATCATTAAGTACTAATTATAACTACAGTAATCGCGGCAAAGATCAAATTCATTTAATTATATTCTACGTGGATAACGCAAGCGTAAAACGACAATAAGTAATGTCAATGATTGACTACGTATTAATATGTGACCGGTTTGTCAACTTTATTTTTCCTAACGCATACGTATGCGTGGACCATGTACACATAGATGCATGTTGTATGTATAATTCATATAGATCTCTATACTACACTGTTCGCCCGTAATTATTAAACTCTATGTCATTTACTTTGCTCGACGCGCGATCACAAATATTTTTTTGGCAAAGTCTAGTGGAATCTCGAGGAAATCTTTCGATGAACTTCCAGTACCAGTCGCCGATTCCCTGATTGATGCTGATGAGGATCCCAGGCACGTGACGCGTCTAGTTTTCGTAGGGCGCGTGTGCGCGGGGCGACGGGGAAGAACAAAGAGACAAACGAAAACGTTAAATATGGACGATTGTGCGAGAATAATGGGAGTCGTGTTTAAGGAGTCCCAAAATTCGCGAGCCACGTGACATGCTGACTCATTGCAAGGTATTATTGACTAATGATTCACGCCGATTAAAGTCTTCAGTCCGTTTCATTTATATCGCTTTTACTAATTTCTAATTATTATCATTAACGCATCTATATAGCCCTATAGCACCGCCACGATCGCTACGTATGTACAGCAGTGCTCCGAAATTCCACCTGATACGTAATAAACTAATGACCTCCTAATAACAATATCTTGTCCCGTCCTACGAGATATCCCTAGACGCTATGTTTTACAGTTAGATAATAACTTGGACATTCTTCGTTATGGCCTTCTCCAAAGTGGCCCTGTGCACACTTCGTCAGCCGCCAATTTCCTTCTGCTCTCATTCTTGTCAGTTATTTCTTCATCCGTGAATCCGCTCTACTGCCTAGGAGTAATAATTCTCTCTCTGTTGGTAGAGTGGCAACGGAGTTACCGGCGACAGATCCTCGTCCTCGAAGCTCAGCTCAGGAGTGAGGTGCAGCGTCGTCAGGGCTTGTACTGTCGAGGAATATCGTTTTAATGGTAAGCTAACCTAACCTTCTTCATTGACGTACCAAACCAGTGGGTTACTGGGTTTAGGCATACATATAATACACAAGTAATACGATCCAACTTTGCACAAGTGCAGGACAAAGGTAAAGGGAACTGGATGAGTCAAAGGAATCATGGTATATGTATTAATTAAAAGAAGAAAAAAAAAAGTGAAAAACATGAAACAAACCTGAAAAACGATTATGTCGTGTGTGTGTCCTACATGGGAAGATGGAGGAAGCTTTTTGTCAGTCAGTGCGCCTGGTTACCTACACACAGCACAAACGATCCAAACAACACTCTCTACAAATCGGCAAAACTAGTTTCTCCTACGATATGTCACACTTTCGATAACGCCAAAATCCTGCCGAAAATTTCTTAAAATTTTGACATCCACGAGACTCTGAAGGACCCCGTGCCCTGCCCGTTGAGCGGATCCTCGGATTCTCCTGGAGGTCATTCGAAGTGACAAAAAGAAAACGGAATGTCATACATTCGTAATTGTCAAAGGACCAAAAAAAAGTTATATAAAATTGGCCATGCTCGTCACACGTCGGCTAGGCTAATAAAACGATGACTGGGCCATGCATGATATAAAGGAAAATTTTCAAAAATACAATGACAATAGTACCGGGCGCAATGTGGCCTTTTAAATTTTATTTTCTGACGTACCAGCCACCATTTTGCTCTTCTCCATAACTTGCTTCGCTAGAATTTGATTAAGTTGGAGGATATGCTCCCTCTGCCTCTTCTCCTCAGCCACCTTCCGCTTAAGCTTATCGGATTTTTCAAGGCTCGCTTCATCCTCTGCGAATCAATTAGCAGTTGGCAATTAGCAATTAGCGATTCAGCTCATTTTGCACTGAAAATTGTTTAACACCGAAGAGACTTACCGGCTCCTCCGGGCGCCGTTACCGTCGTTTCCGATAGCATCTTCCTGATCGCCTCGGCCTTTTTCAAACGTTGCTGTTTCTCCTCGGCACTTAATTCCGGAGTCTGCAAAAAATCGGCACTATAATTCAGATTCTGAATCGACAAAAAAGTATTCGGAAAAAAAAGAAACCGAAAGAATACCTGCTCAGGAATGTAGCGCTCAGGGATGAAGATTTTGTTGGGTGTCCCTAGCAACTGGTCAATGGTACTCTCGTTATACTTGAGCTCCTTGTGACTTAGGGTCGACCTCACGACATCCGGTGCATTTATCCTAGGCCTCAGTGCACGTTCCATATCGAGATCATCTCTCGCTCTTCCCATTCCCTGAAAGTATCGAGAAAAGTCTCTCTCAACGGAGTCACGAGAATCCTGAACCAAGCGAAAGACAGCTGGACAGAGAAACAGCAGTTTCAAAGAGAATGCACGTGAAAATTAAAAGGAAATCCCAGGACTAGAAGGAGCCGGTGAAAAAATGAAAAGAAGAAACAAAAAATACCATCTTCGAGAACGTGTCCTCTAGATCAAATACAGGTTTGCTACTGGACACTGTATAGTGCCTCCTCTTCTCCTTGGGTATCTGCCTCCTTCTGACGGAGGTCTCGGACTTCTTCTCTGTCATCTCCTTGATGATCTGCTTAGCAGCCTCACTCTTGAAGACCGGCGATAGCTGAGGTGATTCTGATAGGCTAGTGATACTGGCTGCCGAGCCGAAGAGCCTCTCCTGGGCGCTTATCGGATTGGGTGACGTCGCACCGGGGCTCCCGGCAGGCAGGCTCAGGTGTCTCTCGTTCCTCACGGCTGGGTAACTACCAGGGTGGGGATAATATTGCGAGGGTGTCTGCTGATTCGGTACCCTGGCGCACTGCGCCAAATAATTCTGGTGACTCGGACTGTAAGACGGACTTGTAGAATAGTTTGGCGAACTCATTGGAAGCTGAGAACTGGAGGTCGGACTGTCCGTGTACGGCGACAGGGTGCTGTCCGAGCTGGCATCGTGACTCTCAAACTGTGGGTATTCCAAGTGACGTCAAATAAAGAGAAATCGTTTAAATAATAACTGGCCGAAAAAAAAGAATAATAAGAATGACGATGCACCAGGAGGACGCGAAGGGATATGGAATGAAAAATTCCAATAAACCACTCACCCTGACTCTGTGTCGGCGAACCATCATATTCCGGAGTGCATTCATGCTGTCGCTGCGCGGAGGTGGCGGTACGGGACCTTGCTGTGATCCTGGCTGTGACCTTTGACCCCCGAATCCTCTGGGCAATGACATGCTACGTTGAAATTGCACATCGTCCAGTTCGGATAATTGCACCGTGCTCTGGGCGTGCATCATCGGGGACTCCTCGACTACTCTGCCCAGCTGAGCCTTCTGAGAAGACCAAAGCAAACGACGTATGGAATAGAGGTGAAAAATAGACGTGAGGTGAAAAATTGCATTCCATAAAAGATTCCTTACTTCAAATTGCTGTGAACCGCCAAATTCATCTTCGCCGAGTCTCTTGGCTCCTCCAGGCGCCGGAAGTCCATTTGTCAGTGGGATTCCGATATTTCCAGTTCTGTCGCCGCGATCCCTCTGCCTTCTCTCGGACTCTCTCTTCACTATCCTGACTGTCTTGATCTCCTGCTTCTCGCGATTTTGCATAATACCCATGAACTTATTCTCATCATTCTGATTGTAGCCGCCGTTCATGAGCGCCTCCTCGCTCGGAGGGGGTGGTGGAGGTGGTACGTATTCGGGAGGTGGTATAGGCCCATTCAAAATAGGATCGCTACCTTTTATACCATCTCCTGGCTGTCTTCGTGGATCCGTATTAATGTACAATGGCGTGACGCTCTTCTGAATTGGGCTGCTGCCCTTGCCCTGTATCTGATCCCTAAGTTGCTGCTGCTTCAACTGATGTTGCTGGATCTGTTCTCGTAGCTGAGGCGAGAGGCTGGAGATGTGGTTCTGGGGCGAGTGGGTCTGTGCGAACTGCTGATTCTGCTGAACGTGATGGCCGTAATGCGAGTTGCTTAAATGATGGTTCAAGTGTGAGTTCTCTTTGTAAGGTGTTGGAGGATCCTTGTACTGAGGCGATGGAAGATGCACCCGATGAGGACTTCCATTTTGTCTAGCGCGAGGCGACGTCGACAAGGCTGGACTCGATGGGGAATCTAATCCGTGGTCCAGGGTCATTCCAGAATCTAAATCAGTTTCCAGCCAGGAACTCTGACTGCGTTTTTTGGATTGATGAACCTGGGGAGCTTTAAGTGGAAGGCGGCATTAGTGTGCACGTTATGTACCAGGTTATTAGAGTTTTATGAAGTTTACGTTCACCTGGAGCAGCTTGAGGTCTGATCTGTTGCACCAGGCTGTGCGATTTCTCAGTGAGCTGTCGCACCTGGATACTGAGTTCTTGCCTTTGTCTTTGCAGGTCGCCCACCAACTGCTGAACCCGACGCAGTTCCGCTTCCAAAGCGGCGGTCGTTCCCGAAGGATCTCTGGACATGTTTCCTGCGTATCTCCTGGAGGCTTGTAACTTTTGCCGTAGGACAACCAGGTCCTGTTCCAGTCGTGCGTTCTCGGCTACGGTCTCCTCCAACTTCTGAAAAAGTTCACACGCAGGCCATAAGATGCCGGGCCGTCTCTCTTGAACGAAACAGCCAGTCAAAGGAAGTGGCCAACGGATAAAAGAAGCGTCCAAAACAAGAGACAAAATGATCTACTGCGGTGAGTGAATTTACCTAGAAGAATACGGTTTTTACCTGAAAAGAATGAATGGCGGATTTAATTTTCCCAGCAAGAAGTTATTTGACTTTTCTATACCCTAATTCTCCAAGTAAAACCAAGTAAAACCAAGTAAAACCAAGTGAAACCGTATGATGAAAAAGAGAGGAGGAATTAAAAAATTGGAAAACTTTTAGCACAGTTCCTCGGACTGACCTTTGAGTTGTGAGCCAATAGAAGTCTGACGCGGCTCAGTTCTCTCTCGAGCAGTAGTTGCTGCTTCCGGTAACGTTCAACTTCCGCCGGGTTGCTCCTGCTGCCTTGTAATTTGTGCCTAAGGCCGCCCAGGGCTTTTTCCAATATTTCCTAGAAATCGCAAAGCATTCCCATATGTAATACTTAACGTGCGTGCGCTCGTGTAAAATGGGACTGGCTCGTCGCCGGCAGCTACTTTTAAAAAATAGTAACACACAGCAACGGTAGCAACTATCAGGGACACTACTATATAGTATAACAATAGTGCCGTCTCGAATTACCTTGTCCTGCTGAAGACTGTGCAGCGTTCCGGATTCTTCCTGCAGCAACCGGTCCAGCTTATAAAGTTGCTGTACCTTAGCCTGCAACGTACAAGGTTACCAAGATCATCCCCGAGGTCTGCGCGCGTCTCGGCTTTCAGCCGCAAGATTCCGGTTTCTAGAGCTACGACACTGCGCGTCTAGGCAAGTTGGTCTCTTGTGCGTCGGGGCACCTTGAGAAATTGATACCAGCGAGAGACAAGCGAGTGTCGCAGCCGCGTAAGAGCTTGTCCCTATGCACGTCCCTACATCGCGATATCTCACTCGAGAGTTCGAGACCGAGATAGAGGCCCTCCTTCTTCCAACAATAAGACACAATCTACCTGCAGTTGGCCATGATCGGGACTCAGCCGATCCCAATCTCGACGTTCCTCTGCGAGCAGTCGCTGCTCCTGGAGCCGCTGATTGAACTCCAGGCGATCGCGATGCGCCCGGGCGCTCTTGTTCTGCTCCTGCGCCTGAAGAAGATCCTGCCGCGAACCGGATACGCTGCCGTTGCCGGTTGACTGACTTCCACGATTGTAGAGCGATCCCAGCTTCACCATATTGTCCACCAGATTCACCAGCGGTTTGCCTTTTTCGTACTGAAAGTTTTAATTAACTCTCTTCCATTCGTCCTTTGCTTTTCTGAGCTCGTTAGCTAATGAACATTAACTGATAATCAGGCTACGAGGCCTGGCTGGTGACTGTGTCAAAGAGCGGGAACCGTCGAAGAAAAGAAATAAGACTGTAAAAGAAGGAAAGGCCAGGTCGTCAAGGATATTGGGAGGAAGTTAGAAAAAGAATGAAGGTAGGCGATTGTCACGCAGCATCCTCTTCCTCTGATCCCGTTCTTCTCCAGGCGGATCTATCCTCGGCACCCGAAGCTGAATTTACCGACTTTCGGCTGTCGACGGGACGGGGTCAAAGGCCATCCAGGCCTTTGTCAACAGTCAAGAGTCGTGAGTCAAAAGTTACCGTCGGATCATCCACAGGTCCACTACACTCTCTGCTACGTCTCCATGTACTTTTATCCTTTTATTGAATTTTTAAAAGGCGTCTCCATTAGTCATTGCAGCGACGTACCTGCTTCTCAAGATCCATCAGATGCTTCTTCAGTTCCTCCAACTTTTGCAAGTTCTCCAATCTCCTGGGGGTATCCAGTTCGGCCAGTCTAGCCTATATGACAACAGAAGAGAAGAGACTCTGGTTACTGGTTTGATCGCGGCGGTTCCGATCGGAGGAAGGCAGGAACGGAGGAACGTAGGTGCAGGGAGAGATGGCAGGCACATAGCCAGCAGCCAGCGAGCGTAGTTCTTTACACCGTCTCCGTGTCGCGCTGCACCAGGAAACCGGTTATCCCTAGGAGATAAACACCACTTACGACTGCGTTCATTCAAACTCCGGCCCGTATTGCGTTAATAAACGCGGCTTCACCAAAGATCCCTTCTTATGCTTAATTGGATTCGGTCTAGGATAAATCAATATCGATCCTATCGCTTGGTCGATCTTTGACTTAATCAGATTTAACGTTATTTCTTCCCTTTCTATTGTCTTTTCTCTCTTTGAACGTTGAGCAGCGACGTACGTGAGCGCAACTGCATCCGATATTCTATACGTGGCTGCCACGGACGGGACCTTGGCAGGATCCGAAGACTGAACTGGTACTGCGTCTACTGCGTCTACTGTGGCCTGCTGTGGCCTGCTGTGCCCTCACTGTCAGCACAGAAAGCCAGTCTCTGGAAAGTGAACGGCTGACTTGGGCACCACTGACGTTACCACCGCGCCGCGTCCCGCCGTCAAGCAGTCAGTGAATGTCTGGATAGTGGGGACTATCTCTGACAGTGGGAGCACAATGGCAGCCAGTGACCGGCATTTATCTGGGTCTACGTCGGTAAATAAAATTTAGCCACAATGACTCTCTATGTCGTACGACGGAGCCACATTTTTTAATCGACGCGAGCCAAAAATATAATATTTTCGTAGTTGTTTCAGGAATTTGGAATTTTCTCTTCGGGTGGGTTCCAGCACGGTCTTCAATTTGCTCACTGGTTAGTATTTTTTGCAAAACGACGTTCCTATTGTTGTTGGATTATCTGGGTGACCCCCTTTACACTCTATTATAGTTCGGACTCCAGGCGATAATGGCTGTAACGATCACAATTTGCCAGTCTAGTTCACGAACCGATCGCAAGCTACGAGAATTCGCCACGATGGCGTTCGGGACGCTTTTTTATTTTCCCTTAACCTTTTTGTTGTACGAGAGAGAAATTTGTTTGGAATTATGTGTTCAATTGAAGCGAAGAACCTGAATCAGCGTCTCTTGTCACGTGACGTGTCAGTAAGTACATACAAGCGGGATGGATTGTACAAAAAAAAAGTTAAACTGCCGAATCAAGGGAGAAATGTGCTATTGAATATTATTTAAAGTTTGGTAAAGAGGTAGGTCGCGTAAGGTCTACGTGCCCGGAGGACAACGACGGCCACGGCGTCACGGCGTCTAAATTCACCCTGTAGTCTCCTGTCGCCTCCCAAGTAATATTCAAGTCCAACCGGTTGTTCGTATTTTCAATTACACGTTCTCCGGGTCGCGGGTGTACCCGGGATTCCGGGATTAGGGACATCAAGACAAATAGCACCTCAAGAGGAATCATCACGATTTCGCTTAAAACATGCTCGACGGTACGTACCACTGCTACTTCAGCGAAGAGTATTTAAATGTTTAGAAATTGGCGATCATTGTTGTACACGAATGAAGCACGAGGAGAGGAAAAGTAGCAGCCGAAGTAGGAATAACATGCCAGTGGTGGGAAGGAAATGTTAGAAAGATATCAGCAGATCGGCATTTCGTGTAAAGTGAATAACCGGACGCCCCTACGGGCTTAACTTTAACAGTTTCAAGAGCTTCAAGAGCTTCAAGAGCTTCGAGAGGATTGTTCTTCAAGAGTAGAGAAATACCAACCACCACCATAAGCCCTTACTCCCCGTTCAAATATACCAGATCCCAGGTTTTCCTTACTCCTTACTAAGCTCCAATGCTACACCCCCCTCAAAAGCCAATTCCCTGCAATTTAACACTTTCAAGACGTAACCTGCGCTTCGATTTCCATGTTACATGTTTCCATCGCCTTGCAAAGCGTCGCGCTTTGTCGACGCAGCTGAATTAGCAGGAGCACAAGTTCCTCGTGGGTCCTGCCCAAAAGTTCTCCAGCCGATACCTGTACCAGTCCACTTGCACTTGCATTTGCATTTGCACTTGCACTTCCACTTCCGGTTGCAGTTCCTGTGGCGGCTCCCCTCGCTGTATTAAGGACGTGCTGTTGATTGACGTCGAGAAACGTAGGAGACAAGATAGGAGGAGGAAGAGAACAAAACAAATAATAACGACAAAATAGAAAAACAGGTAATGCATGATGAAGATAAATTAATAAATTTATAACTAGGCTACTAGGGTGGGCTATTTATGGTGACCAGCTCCATTTTTTCGGAAACAAAGTCAGATATAAAAAAATGTTACAGACAGAAGTTGCAGGGTTTCAAGGGAACCGGAAGGTTCCGTTATTGAATTCCTTCCTGAGTGCAGGCGTCATAGTAATCCGAAAGTCAATTTTCATTTTTTCAATGCGACGATGCAATTATTTAAAAAAAATCAGTTCTCTAGAGCACGCATGATCTATTATCTACTATCCCCCCCCCGCCCCTCCTTCACCTCATTCTACAAGGAATTCGAGTCATAGTGAAATTCAATAACGAAATCTTCCGACCTCCTTGGAAACACTTAAACATCTGTCTGACACATTTGTTTTATATCTAGCTTCGTTTCCAAAAACAACGGACTTGGTCACTATAAATGTCCCACCCTGTATATAAAAACACGCACGCACGGGTACATGCACGTCATAAGGTCACGTGTCACGTGTCACGTGTCGGTGGACAGAACGCTGGACACGTCAGGCGCACTTAGAGACTAGAGCGACGTGCACGAGACTTGGAAAGTTGCCACATTGGAATTCCAGGGACTGGAAATTAATTTTCTATTAGAAAAACAGGCGAATAGGTGAAACAGGGAACATTCGTTGGATCTACGGCAGATTGACGATCGATCGATCTTACTTTCCTGTGAAAGTATCGACTGCTTACTTCGCTGCGATTCGAAGCAGATATGGAACTTTATGGCGGATTCTATCTTATTTCTTTTTTTCTTTCTTCTTCTCTTCTCTCCGCTAATAGAAAGCAACTTTCCTTCCAATCCTGACTATGGATTATTTTCCGCCATTGCATTTCGCTTTCTTCCACCGTCCTCTCTTCCTCTGACACGTTAGATCTCTCTTTCCCACTTAGCACCACTTAGCGCACTGCTCCGAGGAAGTATGTGACAATGCGAAAAAAGAGAAAAGGAGGCAGAAGCCGGGATTGGGGGGACGAAAGATCCTGCGGAGAATCGTACAATTTCCACTGGATTCTTCGATAGAAGACAAAGGCCTCACGATCTGTCTATTTCATTTTATTCCTTCTTTTTCTCATTCTCTCTCTCTCTCTCTCTCTCTCTCTCTCTCTCTCTCTCTCCCTCTATTTTAAAAGAAAACTAAATTCTCGCACGAGAAACTGCTTCAGCATTGTTTGATCTATGAATCTATCGATCGAAAAATCACGTGCAGTTCAGTTTTGTTGGACACTATGAGAAAATAAAAAAAATAATTTGGACAAGGAAATATACAGTGTCTTTAATAGATGGCAGGTACGTACCGTGATAGCCAAATTCACAGTTAATGTTAGATTTTAAATAGAAAGTAGAAAACAAGTGTATGGTGAACCGAAGTCAATTTCAAAGAGGAAAGAGTATCGAAAGCAGGACTGACCAGTAGAATTGCGGAATTGTGGAGCTGAGGCAGTTTCCACAGAAGGAATCCGTTCGACTGAGGAATATCCTCTGGTGGAATCGCTAAGGTGCACACTCGCACACTCGCACACTCGCTGGATGCTCCGCAAGGCGGCAAAAGACTGGCGAGTTGCCACGTTGGGCGCAGCCTTTCGGAGATTCTCCTCCTTGCATGGACCATTTGTTTTATATCTTTTGCCTGAACGGTGTACTCTACTGGCCCCCAACACACACACTCTCTCTCTCTCTCTCTTGCTCAGGGAGATGGTACACCTTTATTTTGTACTTGGAGTTGGCTCTCCTGGGTAGGCACGTTCCGCAGCCCTCGAGAGAGTCGTTCCTCATCCCGTTGAATAGCTACAGTGCCGAGTTAGCTGGTAGCGAACTACAGCTGAGATTCCTCGAGGGGCCGAGAATGTTTGAGGGTGTCGATGAAGCGGTGCGAATCTCTGGTACCTTCGGAGCAGCAGCATCCTTTTACGGGATCTTTATATGTATAGATGTATACTGTGACGTGATTTTTCGAATCACGGTCCCAAGGCGTCTCCGGTTACCGATACAGATAACGTTCTCGATTTCTGGTTCCCTTCGGGTCGCCACCCTGCTCAGAAGCTACGCTCTCGGGTTGATTCGTACAGTTACGTCAAGGCTCTCGTAAGATTTCGTTATTGTAGAGTTGAGGTCGAGGTGCTCGAATCTGCCGTGGGGAGATGGTCTCGACATACCGAGTTGCCCGGCAGAGGAGACGACCCGACGGAGACGTCTCCGCGGACCGGCAGAAGCCCGGATGAAATACCGGCGCCCCGCTGGAGATGGGCAAAGGGCTGTAGAGCGGGCG